AAGATCGCTGAAAAAAGCGGGAACAAGAAGATGCCTACACTGAGACGGAAAGTCATTCATAAACCCATCCCTACATCTTTCTGTTTCAACGTTTTGCTTCTCATGAATGCATCAGCATACAAACGATAGATCATCAACTGATTTTGCTAGAAAGAAAGAAAGATGTAGGGATGGGGTTATGAATGACTTTCTGTCTCGGTGTAGGCATCTTCTTGTTCCCTCTTTTTTCATGAAGTGACATCCCTACATCCCCTATCATTTCACTTGTATATATAGGTGCACTGGGTATATAAAAAGCAGACAATGAAAACAAACTGGTGGCTGATACACACATTACTACAAATCTTCATATATAGGGTTTGGGGGTTGACAGTACTGTTGAGGTCCTGTGTGGCCTTTTCTCTGAGGCTGTGGTTTATGCAACTCATATGCCATGTTCTTCTCCATTGCCACATGTTTGGAAGAAGCTGCTGAAGACTTAGCCACTGTTCGAAAAAGTAAACATGTAAAACAAGAAAAATAAACTCAGAAGTTACCTTTCCTTCTTTCTCTGTGTATCATGAGCACCTTTACTACAATGATCCCCATCACAAACAAAATGCATGTTGTAATAGCTCCAATACATACACCAACACTAATTCCTGTTTGTATCGATAAAGAAACACTACTAGAATTGAGCATGGCTGTTTACCTTCAGCACACCAGGGAGTTGAGCCATTTGGAATAACAAGTGGCCCTGAGATGTACACAAGTTGATACACCATACATAATTTTTATACATAGGATGGACATACTTGTCATCTTATCAGTAGGAGAAGGTTGATTGGATGGCTGGGGATCATGGACAGTAGCTACAGTGATGTAGTCAGGTTCTCCAGAAGAGTCCACCCCTCCCCCTGCTGCCAGACCATAGACCAACACAGTGTATGTGACAGGGAGGAGGCCAGGGAACCCGTGGACACCCTCTCCCTCCCCCTCCACACACCCTCCCTCCTGGAACCCTCCCTCCACCTCACTGCTCACCAGCTGCACATAGCACCTCTGAGAGAGGGTGTGTCTGAACACACACCTCACCACCACCACTCCCTCGAGTTCACTAACTTCAACCCTGACAACTGTCGTATCTGGAAAATGTTAGACAAGACAGGTTGGTGTGTGTGTGTGTGCTTAGTCATACAGACTATATATGTAACACATGGAGTCTAATAAATCAATGGTTTAGTATTAAGCTATCTTCTCACTCACTGATTGAGAATACTCCGCTAGAGTCCAAGGCTTTATGAGCTCCACTATCGGAGGTTACATGGACAGTGTAGTCACAGTCTCTCTCCAGGACCACCTCAGATTGTATTAACCAGATGTAACCTGGAGTTAGCTCTGGGGAAACCACTGATACTACTGATGGACATTGTCCCTCAGTACCACTATTGTAGTAGAGTTTAAGGTGTTCTTGAAAGCACAACACTGAAAATGCAACACACAAAAAGGACGAAAAATAATCTTTACACCATCTTCTGAAGCTGATATAAACTTACCCGCAAAGCTGGTGGAAAAAAGTGGTGCTTTGATGGCAACTCTATATTTATCAGACAATATCTTGAATACAGTAATATTCGCCCCATCTATAATATCACCTGAAAATAAAGATGTAGTTATACAGCACTATCTGATGACAAAACCCACTTGATACTTCATGGTTGTGTAAAAAGCTCCTTTGAGTAGATGATGTTCCCTGGCCAGCTCCATTCAGAGGGATGACAGAGAAGTTGGTACACATGACAAGGACTGAGGTAGTGAGGAGTGAAGGTGTAGTGTGTCTCAGTGATATTGATACAGTCAGTACAGAGGATGGCTATTGGGTTGTTCTCATCTGTCACATTGTAGATGAGGACAGAGTACCAGATATCAGGATCAACACCAGTCACATCCAGAGAGAATAGAGCACTCCACGAGATGGTCACTGATGATCCGTTACTCTGCGATTTTAAAGCATTCATTTGCCCCAACAGACCTGTTCCAAACAGTAAATACCGGAAAGCTCTTTTTGGGAAAAGCTAAATCATATATACACATTTCAAACCTTGCACAGTCAGATAGGCAGCTTGACTTTCATTTTCATCCACACACTGTAATTTAGTTCCGTTGTATCTCAATATTGCTAATATTGATAGTGTAAAAAGATGCAGTATGCCGTCAGTTGATGCACTGCGAATAATGACATCAGCTTGAGATTCTTTTAGTAAGTCTTCAAAATCAGTCTCATTGATTTCCCAGTGTGTTAATCCAGTATTTGTGACGCAGGAGAAATTGGCGACTTGGTTCGTGAAGACTGTTACATTGACCGGTCCCTCAAGAACACCTGTATAAAACAATATATACTATATTTTATTATACGTGATATTTATGCGTGCAACCTACCCTGTCCATACTTCAGCCCTATAACGATGGCAATAAGAAGAATCATGTCTTTAGACAGCACTGGAAAAGTCCACGGCGGTAAATAGGTATAATACGTACCGTAAACCAACTAACTGAAAAGCGGTGGAACCCCACCCCCACCCATCTTCTTAGCGAGTCACGGCGAAGAGTACTAGAAGCATCGCGGCACTCACAGCGTAAGCCATACCTACCAACCATCCAGTTTGCTTGATAATCAAGCAAAAATACTGCCTATCCCACCATAAAATCTGCAGGTTGTTAAGCGTGGTAACTATGCAGTACATTTTTCGAGGTCGTACAGAACTTCCGCGTAAAAGGGGTGTAAATGCCCTGATTCAATCATGGGACGATTTATTCAAGGACTGATCACATCGTTCAACTGCATGACAGGGAAGTATGCAGTGTTTTTCCCTTCTGACAAAACCAGTGAGGAATTTGCTCTTGATGAAGATGGATTTATGATCCTCGACTAATCAACAACAGACTCAAAGGAAGTAATCACACATGCTATTCACCACTATGGCATTTATACCCAGTGATCATAATTCACAGATGCACAACCTTCTCCTTTGTGTTGAGCCCAGTCCTCATTTTGATCTCGTTTCCAAAACCCTCTTTCTGGTGCGCACGTGCAATGAATTCTCCACACGCGCATGCGCACACTAGGTGGGTGTGTCGCGTCGCTCGGCACTCTGCGTGCGCGAGTAAAAAGGTTGCAGAGTAGGGGACAGGAGTTACTTTGGCATGAATTTACGTGAGGTCAAAGGTCTAGAGTTTACGACGCAAAAGCCTTGCAGAGCAGTTGTGTTCTCGGCCGTATTACTATACTCTGGGGCGGTTTTACGGCAGGTCAAAGGTCGCAATCCTGGAGGGCGCCCCGGCTTTTTGAGGATCATTACCAAGTCGCGTAAAACCGTGCCACTGTAAGAGCATCCCTTTCTACTAGACGGGGTTTTACGTGGGTTGCAACCTGCGTAAAACCCCCCCATGATGGCGTAGGTAGCGTAAAGGATTCAGTCGTGGGGTAAATCGCGTAAAATCGTCGCATGATATATATATTTTTTCTTTTCTTTTTTGAATCAGGGCATTTACACCGAAGTTCTGTACAACGATCAGCCAGCACGGTCGTCGATCTACCCCGTCCCCTTCTTTCTGCGCCGTAAATGCTGCTCGTGGGCTTAGGATGGATGAAATGTTGTTTTTTGGGAACATTTTATTGCAAAACCATACGGAATCGAAGTTTTTCAACACAAGGCTATTTGTTGTATTATTATACACCAAATAATCGTGAAACCATTCACTGCTGGTATTGCACTGTATCATTTTCCACCCTCTCCGTAGAGTAACGCGCGCGGGCGACGACGTGAATGCAGCAGGGAAGTGAAACGGGGAGAATGTAGCAGTTACGGTCAGAAAACACATTGTGACACGGCTCAGTGACACACAAAGATGCTAAGATAAAACAGAGACACGGGTTCGCTTGCTACTTGTGCATATTTCTGGTGGGGGACCGTGTGTGGCACGGGGGGACCAATTACGGCTGCTACGGACGTTCCGGGAGTTTGGCGGCGACCATCGACGGCCTGACAGGTAGGTCTGAGCATAATAATACACGGGACTAGTCTCGTGATGCCCAGCCTCCCCGGCGGCCCCGCCCTGGCCCCGCCCCCCTCATCCACACACACACACACACACACACGTAAGACACGTCGAGGAAGGAACGGTAAAATTGCCTGTGCTCGGTACCAGAGAGTGGCTGGTACCGAGACTATTCTCGTGTGTCTTTCTATCGAACACAGATAGAGGTCCTACGGCGTGTAGAGCTGGCCTTAGGCCAGCTCTTGGCCTTTTTGTTGGTGGTTGCAGTGTTACCTCAAGGTAAGATATAGCTTCAAGGTAGGATATATCTAGCTAGATACTGTCAGTGTGGGCTCGTTCACTTGTTCCCCCTTGTTTTAGATTCATTTACACATGATGTAACATCGTTTATGGGTATGAAAACTCAATTTTTCTGCTCTGTTGAACACGGGGATCGTTTTCGGTGGAGAGTGAATGAAACTGATCTAACATTTTCTCAGTCTGATGATATACAAACTAGTAGTACCTCACTCCCCAGTGCTACCTTGTACACCCTCACCGTAACCTCCAGAGCTGAATATAATTACACCTATGTGGTGTGTGAGGTACAAGATGAAAGTGGTGACTGGATGGTAAAGAACGATTTTACTCTAATCATTAGAGGTACACTTAAATATAAACATATATAGCTGTAGTAGCAAAATCTCTGTCTCCTTCTGTAGGTCTGTTTGTGTCCGTGACCAATAACTCAAACTCTACCACCATCTCGTGGAGTGCTCCATTCTCTCTGGATGTGACTGGTGTTGATCCTGGTATCTGGTACTCTGTCCTCATCTACAATGTGACAGATGAGAACAACCCAACAGCCATCCTCTGTACTGACTGTATCAATATCACTGAGACACACTACACCTTCACTCCTGACTACCTCAGTCCTTGTCATGTGTACAACTTCTCTGTCATCCCTCTGAATGGAGCTGGCCAGGGAGACAGGAGTGAAGGCGTTTACGGACATACCATTGCAGGTTAGTTAGCCGCATCATACCTTTACCATTTCCGTTATTTCCTACCTATAGTTCCTGATAATTGTACCTTTGGTCAGTGGAATTTACTCTTGGCGGAAAGGTATTTTTACCTTACAGCTGAATGTACTCCCACCTCGGACATAATGGTCGTTACTGAGACCACTGAGTACAGTCGATACTCTTTTCATCGAAACATACAAACCTGTACTGTTGTAAGGAGTAAGGGTATGGTGCTCAGGGTTCTTGTGTTCTGTATGGATCCTGGTAGACCTCCTTGGAATGGATCCACTCCATGCTTCCAGTGGTCTTCTAATACAACAACTGAATATATCGTTACTAGAAAGGAGGGTATGATTTCAATCTGAAACGAAGGAATTGGACAACGGACATGCATTTCGTCTGTCCGACGGAAGTTCCGGTCGTGCAGACAAATTAGGGGCGTATCTCTCTAGCCATGTCGAAAACTAAACCCACATCATGAATAATGATGGTAGCCGCTCTAGCTCTCTCTAGATAACTGTCGGCCAAACCCAATTAGTGTGTGAGGATACGTAGCTAGGTCAAAGTTACGCCCTTGCATTCAAAACGCAGCAACTGGAGAATTGTAGAATGGCATCACTACGTTCCGCTGTTTTGATAGCTGTAATTACGATGTCACTAGTAGTGAAGTGTAACTCCCAGGATATCAACATGAATGGTTAGTATTTTTTGACAGTAATGTGCAATTGAGGGTTCGGCGCGGATGCGTAAATATATAGCGAGCATGCATGCATTGTACGTAGCTTGCTACAGAACAAGAAAGACCAGTTTCAGCTCTTGTGTCTGCCTCCCATATTATGCAGGAGCCTAGGTAGCTAACTTGACACGTATGATGACTGTGGACTAGCCAATCATCACTGAGGGAAAACGTGTATTATACGTCTTACGTGTTACTCTGTAGCTACGTTTCATCTGATTAACCGGGTTTCGCCGCCAACACTATAATATACGTACGTAGCTGACCTGTCCTGCATAATAATATGCGTGGCCACGAGAATCGACATCTGCCGAGGCATTGCGAGCTGCACACGGTGGGGTGGTCCAGCAGGAGTGCTATTTTGGCCAGTCATATAGTGTTTCAATATTTCCACAGTGTCCGCTGTTGAAGACAGCAGTTACTGTCCGCTGCCTCGACTCCTCCTTGGTGTTGAATCCGTTAACCAGCTCGACGTTCCCATATTTCCTACCTGTGACCCCAGCCAGCAATCTGGGGGAACTTGTACTTTCGAGTTTGAGGAAGGCTCAGTTAGCTACACTGGAAACTCGTCTGGATCAATTGCCTACTACAGAATATCAGATGAATACTGCCTTAATTCTACATCAGAGAGGAAGTGTACGGCTGGAGAATGGATCGAAGGAATCATAATTGAGGCAGGTATGTTGACTATAGCAGGGTTGAGACTTGCATACAATTTATAGTCTAGCTATACTTATACCATTGCACTCAGTTGCAGAACAGAGACCAGGTTATAAACATACCATTTTAATAAAGAGGTCTTCTTAAAACTGGCTATACTCTACTGAACCTTCTTGTTCTGGGCATCATGGACACATTAGATATGATGGAGTTCCCTGGTGCGAAAAACTCTTTCTACTAGCATGCGGCCACATGCTAATGGGGGTGTAACCCAGCAAGTGGCATTGATACTTGCGTTTTAGGTTGTTGGAATGATGTGAGTGCGCTACAGTGCTTCTTTCACTATCAGGTGCACTAGCTACATTACGCGGCATTTCCAGACCAAGTAATAGTCTCGTCCCTAGCAACAACTTGGTAGCGAGGTAGAAAGGCAAGGCAAGGCAAACAAGTCAACTGTACCTAGGACAGCTCTTTACAAGAAGAAGAGCTGCCCTGGGTTGGATTTGAACCCACGGCACTCTGCAGTCTAGGCGAGCGCTGTACCATGCCTTCCGTATACGGTATTAGAGAGTCGGTAGACTCTCTATATAGGGACGACGCGGGTGAAATCTCACGTGATCCGCGTACAAAACGACTAAAAACTCGGTGAGAATCACTCCCTAGGCCTTCAAAACATACTAGCAATAGTCTACGGGCCCATATCTACCTTTATTGTATTTTGCGTTGGCGAATCAAAGGCGCCGCCAGTATGATACAGAACGGTTTTTGTACTATATCGCGCGGAACTGTGCTATATCACACTAACTGTACTATATCCGCGGAGCGTACGCTTTGCGGGTATGACGCCTCGGCGGCCTTTCGTAGACGGAGGTCGACTCAGACGGTGACACAAACAGCTTCTGGTAGGGCGCTCCGCGAGCTTCTAGTCTTTCTGAACTTGCAAAAAAAAGATTTTCCTGCCGCCTTGTGAACTATATACGCGGACTAGCGTACGCTTTGCGGGAATGACGCCCTCGGCGGCCTTTCGTAGACGGAGTTCGACTCAGACAGTGACACAAACCGCTGCTGGAAGGGCGCTCCGCGAGCTTCTCGTCCTCTCTTCCGTTCTGAACGCCGGTTTTCCTGGTCGCCGCCTTTTGAATCGCCCACGTATACAATAAAGAACTTAATGTACGGAAGCACGTGCTGTGCGCGTGATAATGGTACTCGGAACGTGGTCTAGATAGATCATACAGCAACTCGGCTGCGCCTCGTGCTGTATGACTATCTCGATCACGCCCATCACGCGCACATCACTGACTTCCGTACATTAACTATTACGTACATGTCCCCCAATACCTCATACGCACCTTCAGTCGTCCACGCGAGAACTCGCTCATACGCGATTTCACGATTTTCTCGTCATCATCACTTCATGTTCTTCTTCTTCTTCTTCTTCAGACCCGCTAGCTCCTTACCGGAAGCACTTGAAGCGTTGATTTTTTCACAGAACGTCTCCGAATTTGCCGGAGGTGTGCACGCATATCAAGCGATCGTTTGTTTCTTGCCGCAAGTCACTACAGTAGATCGTTGAGCTCTTCCTCGGTAGTCACTGAACAACGCCATTTGCTGCTATATAACTCAGCATCATGCGCCGAGGAGGGCGTTTCCTCCAATGCGGTGCGCGCGCATTTTTGTTTGGTCCACGAACGAGACTATAAGCCAGGACTGGATGCCTGCAGAGAAAACTACCAGTGCCTTCTGTAAGTCAGTGTACACATTTTTAAGTGGCTAGCTTGCGTTTTGTTGTTGCTATCATTGTAGTCTGTTTTCTGATGCCTGCCCAATGAAACCCCCACCATACATGTGCCACAACCTAATCGCGTCCTTGTTGGAGACACTACGCATACACCCTGCTTCAGGTAAGAGCAGTCCATTAGCTTCTGCTTTCAACAGTTATCTCTACAACATACCCATGAACATCAGAGTGACTGAAAATGCAGTGTTGTCATAAACCATTAAAAATAGTGGGAAAATCATTTCTTCAAAATGAAGGGTGCTATAGGGATGGCTTGAAGCACCAAGAAGGAAGAAACAAGGGGTCATTACACACCAAAATATGCACAAAGCCACATGACACCATCCCTATATCTTTGTTTTATTGTTCATAAGCAAAGTTTAATATCAGACAAAGATATAGGGATGGTGTCATGTGGCTTTGTGATTTCCACTTGTAATTATGATGACACAGGTTGTCCTGCATTATGCCCATACATTTGAGATTTTTGTGTTTCATGCTTAAATCAGATTCAACATTTGACAGTTTTAAGATGTAACCACCATCCCACAGTACTAATGCATCACATACACAAGGTCATCCCTGTATCTTCTCCTTGCTTTTTATGGCATCCCTACACACTTCTTTTTATTTACTTGCGTATTAAAGAGTGTATTTTAATTTTAGTTGCGACGAAGGACTTCCCACAGACCATTCATTTTGTCTTAATTGGGATTGGAGCTCTTTTTCAATTATTTGGAGAAGTGTTTGACATTGTTGCAGCATGCATGTTTCTACTCATAAAAAGAGATCTTACGAAAGGTACAGTGTAATAAACAAAATAATAGTAACATTAAACAGTCACACCTTAGCAATTTTTTTTTATTCGTTATACAGAAATGAATCAGGGATCAATTCGGTATTTGGTAGTAGACACTTGTTCAATAATGACTACAATTGGTTTGATCACTGAGCTTTGTGTGTAATAAAAATTTGATTACGTGATTCATTTACAAAATTATAAATGAAAGGAATACCTATAAAAAGGAATACCTATACCTATAGAAAGGAATACCTATAACTTCTAGTCTTACTTGTAAGGGAACTAATGTCGACCTCAGCACCCACTGGCTATTAATATACTGTTGTCACCCATCTCGGTCATGTTACGGGTTATGTGTGTAACCACCATTGCAGCACCACCACTACACCACAACTACAACTAAGTGTGAAAAGTGGAGACTTTGCTCAGTTTCGGTGGAGCCCCACTGTGGGGCTGGCCATAAGAGATGAAAGGTGTGAGCAAGAAAGGGCAAATGTTCAGGGAGTGGCGGCAGATAAGACGAAAGCGGTCAAGAAAGAACAGAGGCTCTAGCAGCCCATGTGTTAACAATAGGTACTGCATGGGCTGGTGCAGTGAGCTCAGTAAAAGGAGAAGCTGGGATGTCAGGGGGCTGGGCGTGAGAGGAATGAAGTGCGTGGAAGGGAGAAAATTATGGCAGAATTTGGAATCTCCTTGCAAATAGCACAGAACAGGGCCTGTTTGATCTCAATGCTCACAGAGACTCATCGCTGAAATGCACTTTACCCGCCTGTTACATGGACAGCAACGAAGTAGACACAGTATAAAGGAGATTTAGGACAATTGCGGGAATGTTACCTGTGTTCTCAAAGACTGTACCTCTGTTGAACAATCATATTTGCTTGGCAGTAGGTGGTCACCTTATTATTCAGGTTCAATGCAGAAAGAGAAGGTCCAGCTAACCCTGCACTTGAGAATTATAGAAATGATCTGTTCGATTTGTATACAGAATAGACTAGGTGTCAGGTGATTGTGGCTTAACTTACATTCCAATCCAGTGCAGACTTTGCTTGTCTCAATGTGCATTGATTCACTAAACCTTCGTTGCAGGAGGCTCGGGGTTGCAATATTATTAACCCTCGGTGCGCATGCGCAGCGAGGGTTACAGTAGTTAACCCTCGGCGCGCATGCGCAGCGAGGGTTACTGTAGTTGGGTTTGTCTGTGTGTTTGTCTGTTACTCTACATCTCACCTCTCGAATGTCTGTTCGTCCCAGAAACGATACCATCTACCCAACGGGCGACGAAGGTCAGAAAATATGTGGGGTTTTCTCTGAAAATGCTGCGTTGCAGAGCTAGAGCGCTTCCTGTATTGTATGGCTAATACCGGTAGTCGCCATTTTATCGCTGGCGGATAATGCGCATGCGCTTATATTTAGCACAGGCTTACCTCGACCGGGTCCGCTTGCTCTGTCTATCTTGAAGGCGCAAGAAGTCACAACGAATGGCGTTTATCGACTCTTGCGTGCTATCTACTACTGTAGCTAGCTCGTGTCAGACTCTATGCGAGCTACTTCGCCGAGGGTTTGCACTTTAGTGCTTTTCATTGGGTTTGTCTGTCTGTCTGTTTGTTTGTCTGTTACTCTCAATCTCACTTCTCGGGTGTCTGTTCGCCCCAGAAACGATACCATCTACCCAACAGGCGACGAAGGTCAGAAAATAAAGGCGGTTTTCTCTGAAAATGCTCCGTTGCAGAGCTAGAGCGCTTCCACCATTGTACGGCTAATGCGTAGTCGGCCATTTTTATCGCTGCGGAAAATGCGCATGC